TGGTGCGACTCTGTGGATCTATGGTGCGACTCTGTGGATCTATGGTGCGACTCTGTGGATCTATGGTGCTGACTCTGGGATCTATGGTGCGACTCTGTGGATCTATGGTGCGACTCTGTGGATCTATGGTGCGACTCTGTGGATCTATGTGCGACTCTGTGGATCTATGGTGCGACTCTGTGGATCTATGGTGCGACTCTGTGGATCTATGGTGCGACTCTGTGGATCTATGGTGCGACTCTGTGGATCTATGGTGCGACTCTGTGGATCTATGGTGCGACTCTGTGGATCTATGGTGCGACTCTGTGGATCTATGGTGCGACTCTGTGGATCTATGGTGCGACTCTGTGGATCTATGGTGCGACTCTGTGGATCTATGGTGCGACTCTGTGGATCTATGGTGCGACTCTGTGGATCTATGGTGCGACTCTGTGGATCTATGGTGCGACTCTGTGGATCTATGGTGCGACTCTGTGGATCTATGGTGCGACTCTGTGGATCTATGGTGCGACTCTGTGGATCTATGGTGCGACTCTGTGGATCTATGGTGCGACTCTGTGCGACTCTGTGGATCTATGGTGCGACTCTGTGGATCTATGGTGCGACTCTGTGGATCTATGGTGCGACTCTGTGGATCTATGGTGCGACTCTGTGGATCTCTGGTGCGACTCTGTGGATCTCTGTGCGACTCTGTGGATCTCTGTGCGACTCTGTGGATCTCTGTGCGACTCTGTGGATCTCTGTGCGACTCTGTGGATCTCTGTGCGACTCTGTGGATCTCTGTGCGACTCTGTGGATCTCTGTGCGACTCTGTGGATCTCTGTGCGACTCTGTGGATCTCTGTGCGACTCTGTGGATCTCTGTGCGACTCTGTGGATCTCTGTGCGACTCTGTGGATCTCTGTGCGACTCTGTGGATCTCTGTGCGACTCTGTGGATCTCTGTGCGACTCTGTGGATCTCTGTGCGACTCTGTGGATCTCTGTGCGACTCTGTGGATCTCTGTGGATCTGTGGACTCTGTGGATCTCTGTGCGACTCTGTGGATCTCTGTGCGACTCTGTGGATCTCTGTGCGACTCTGTGGATCTCTGTGCGACTCTGTGGATCTCTGTGCGACTCTGTGGATCTCTGTGCGACTCTGTGGATCTCTGTGCGACTCTGTGGATCTCTGTGCGACTCTGTGGATCTCTGTGCGACTCTGTGGATCTCTGTGCGACTCTGTGGATCTCTGTGCGACTCTGTGGATCTCTGTGCGACTCTGTGGATCTCTGTGCGACTCTGTGGATCTCTGTGCGACTCTGTGGATCTCTGTGCGACTCTGTGGATCTCTGTGCGACTCTGTGGATCTCTGTGCGACTCTGTGGATCTCTGTGCGACTCTGTGGATCTCTGTGCGACTCTGTGGATCTCTGTGCGACTCTGTGGATCTCTGTGCGACTCTGTGGATCTCTGTGCGACTCTGTGGATCTCTGTGCGACTCTGTGGATCTCTGTGCGACTCTGTGGATCTCTGTGCGACTCTGTGGATCTCTGTGCGACTCTGTGGATCTCTGTGCGACTCTGTGGATCTCTGTGCGACTCTGTGGATCTCTGTGCGACTCTGTGGATCTCTGTGCGACTCTGTGGATCTCTGTGCGGACTCTGTGGATCTCTGTGCGACTCTGTGGATCTCTGTGCGACTCTGTGGATCTCTGTGCGACTCTGTGGATCTCTGTGCGACTCTGTGGATCTCTGTGCGACTCTGTGGATCTCTGTGCGACTCTGTGGATCTCTGTGCGACTCTGTGGATCTCTGTGCGACTCTGTGGATCTCTGTGCGACTCTGTGGATCTCTGTGCGACTCTGTGGATCTCTGTGCGAGTCTGTGGGTCTCTGTGCGAGTCTGTGGGTCTCTGTGCGAGTCTGTGGGTCTCTGTGCGAGTCTGTGGGTCTCTGTGCGAGTCTGTGGGTCTCTGTGCGAGTCTGTGGGTCTCTGTGCGAGTCTGTGGGTCTCTGTGCGAGTCTGTGGGTCTCTGTGCGAGTCTGTGTTTCTCTGTAAGTCTGGGTCTTTGTGTGCGTATATGGGTCTCTGTGTGAGTCTATTGGTCTATTCGAAAGTCTATGGGTCTCGATGTGCGTCTATGTGTGAATCTGTGGGCATCTGTATGTGTATGTGTCTTTGTGTCTCTCTGTGAGTCTATGGGTCTATGTGTGTCAAAAAAAGTCCCATTCGTAGAAACAGTGGTGCAACACCCTTCCAGCCCAATCAGGGCTTGCGCATTTAAGCCACAAGCTCAAAGGGAGGGGAACGGGAATTTGAGACGAGATGCCCCCCCTTTCCCATGGAGCTTCAATACGAGGGGCGTTGGTGAAGAGGTCTTGAGATGGGAACGGCTGTAACAAGGGGAGGCTGCGCCCCTCAGCCGTCAACGGGCGGCAGTATGCGGTGGAAGGCGAGTGCTTCAGCTCATATGCCACGTGTATATTACGTTTACTTGTAGGGTTTTCGTTTGCTCCCTTGGGGCGCCATGGTGGTGAGATATTAACTACCTCGCCTTGTATACAGAAGGTCGTGGGCTCTATCTCAAACCTGACACGTGCATATTTGAAATGTGCATGTTCTCTCTCCCCGTGGTCGCATGGATTTTTCTCCAGGTCCTCCGATTTTTCCCTCCACGTTTAAAAACATGCGTTTAGAGTACTTGGCTGCTATAGATTTCCACATGATGACAAGCCACTTCGTTGAGCTATCATTTGTGGACAGATCACTTCTGAAAAAGAGCTACATAGCTCAGTGGACCTTACCTGGTAAAATATACATAGTTTAGTGTTTTCTTCCCTCCCACAGCCCCATTGTCTTCCCCCTCGAAGATTTATATGGGAAGGGAAAAGGTAAATAACCTAATGTCCTTGTGCGTGGTCCCCACCTTGCATGGGGCAGCAAGCAACCTCTGAGTAGCACGGTTGGCTATGCGAAAGAAGTTCACCATACATACAAAGGCTCCGAAAGACTTCAATGTTAAAGGCTCCCACAGACGTGAGTGTTAACATCTCCCATAGGCTTCAGTGTTAAATCCTCCCTTAAACTTCAATATTAAAGTCAAATTTCCCCCTTCGTAAGGTCCTGCCGTGCCAAATTCGGATTTCTGCTCACGGAGTTTCTGTACCCCTCCATTTTGTGATTGTCGTAATGTACCTGGCTTGCATTGTGTCGCAATCAATAAAAATAAAACATACCACTCCTTTGCAAAGAGTGTGCAGTTTTTTTTTGCTTTTCCTATTGCGTTGTGGAGAATCCTCATTTTCGATATTATCTATGGGAACCTTTTTTTGCCACCGGTATGAAGATGATGAATAGAAAGAATAGGCTTTTAACCATTTATCCAGCATGAATAGAGGAGAGTCCATGATGTTCAAACACCAAATAGACACCTATTATCACAAGGCATCATCAAGGCTGCATTAACCACACGTCATGCTTGTAGTATAACATGCTAACAGGATTTGAGGACCTTGAAACTGATTGACCTGCACCAGATAAGAACATATCATCATCATCGATCTTCCACGAAGCTTACTGTCCACAACCCTCAAACCACTTGATGATGATGATGATTGTCACGATGCTGTGACTGATCACCCATAACTTAACCATGGTATATATATAACAACTCATTGCACCGATTCACAAATTCGAAGGTGTTGAATCATTAAAGCGTTGATTCATCAAAGCGATGATTCACTACTTTGCTTCTCCTGATGCGCTCATCTTGCTAATACAACCTTTTCCAGTTACGATGACGTACGTGTACATCATAGAAACGTAACCGGAAAAAAAGATAAAATAAAATAACTATCGATACCGAGTCTCCCACAAGGCCATGTGGGAGGGTGTGTGGCACAGTTTGGTGCCAGCTATCTTAGAGTGCGGTGATCGAGTCGCGATGGTTCATTGCGCGGAGTATGTCTTTAAAAACAATGGCGCAACGCCCCTCTAAATAAAATTAACGCCAACCACTTACACGTTCCGAGATTCAGCAGTGAACAGGACATTGCAGTCGTCTAGGAACGGGAAAGGGTTAACAACCTCAATGTACAATTATGGCTGTTGCTCTGTGAACACGTAGGCTTTCGTGACCATATTATTCATAATAACGGTTTCCTCCAGTTTTTTCCTGAACTTTTAGAATTGACATGCGTTTGAAGTATTTGGCTACTATACATTTCCACGTGATAGTAAGCCGCTTCATTGAGCCATCTTTGTGATAGCCAGGTAGCTTCTGAAAAAGAGCTATACAAATCAGTGAGCCTTACCTGGTAAAATTAAAGTTTTAATACGAGTCTTGATGAGTATAGGTCTCTGTGCATCGCTTTGGTTCTATACGAGTCTGTGAATCTGTGTGGGCCTCTGTGGGTGTGTTGGAGGTTAAATCCACATTTACAATCTGCTGGTAATTGCAAAAACTCGCTTCATCAGGTGATTTGCCAACACACCGTTGTGCTGAAGTAACTAATTGGCACGTTTTGTTTACGTGACAAACCTTACTATTTGACCGTGTCTGGTGCGTGGCTGATTTAACGACATTTATATTTACGTGATCTAATCCCCATAAAAACCCTTTATTATGAAAAATTTGATAAGATATTGCTATTCTAAATGTATTGCTACAGAAGGATCTAAGCGGAGCCCAAAATGAAACCAAGAAAAATGTTTCAACATAGAAGACGACCTGATAATTGCAGGCAGCGATTTGGACACATGTACGATAGACAACAGGAAACTTTAGCATGTGTTGTTCGGAAAAATTGATGGAATTGAAAAAAGAAGAAGACCTAATAGAGAATGGCTTGACGACAGAAGAGTTTGGTGCCAGAAAGATGTGGCACTACCTGAGCATACGGTCACAAGACGGAGAAAAATGTAAACAAATAACAAAATGTACAGTGGACACCTACTACGGGCTATCTGTCCGTGGATCGTGATGATGTTAATAAAAAGTTTCATTTTAGTTTTTTTAGTCTTACCAGAGAACTCCCACGAAGAGGGCGGTCCGTATGATCATCACGCTGATGGACACGGCCACACTGGGCATGAGCAGCTGCAGTTTTGCCATGCCGTACGTGACAATGGCGGGCACGGTGAAGACCACGTCACCGACGAGGGCGCCCACCAGAAGCACAAAGCGAGCCCTCTCTCTCAGGACGCGCTCGCCGGAGACCACCGCCACCACCACGCAACTAGCGCAGATGTTCACTGCCCCGCCCAGGATAACCGCGGCCGGGATGATGATGCTGAACACGAACGTGTAGAGCAGCTCCACGTCCACGCCGGATGGACCAGTCGCAGCTACGGACGTCAGGTTGGAGTGTAGGGTTGTGACTATGGAGGTCAGGTTGGTGTGTAGGGTCGGGGCTACAGAGGTCAGGTTGGTGTATAGGGCTGGAGCTACGGAGGTCAGGTTCGTGTATAGGGTCTGGGCGACGGAGGTCAGGTTGGTTTGTAGGTCCGGGGCTATGGAGGTCAGGTTGGTGTATAGGGTCGTCGCTATGGAGGTCAGGTTGGTGTATAGGGTCGTCGCTATGAATGTCAGGTTGGTGTATAGGGTCGTCGCTATGAATGTCAGGTTGGTTTGTAGGGTCGGACTCCCGCCACTTGTTCCATTAGCCATGGTTGCTGTGAGAGACGTCAATGACAATTACAAGTCCAGTAGGTCACAGCTGTGTAGTAGCTATGTGTGGGAGGAGACCAGGGCACCTGGAGAAAACCTACGCGTTTGTATGTGTAGGTATGTTGAACGTCTTTCGCACGGTACGTAGCCAACCGTCCTTATTTGAGGTGCGGGGGAAGGACAAAGCAAACACAAAAAGCAGTTCTAAAGAAATTAGTTTTCAATCTAGATAATTTAAAAGAGCAGCACTCCGGTGGCTTCTAATATCGGAAGAGCATTCTAGATAGCCGCAGAAGCACATATGAAAGCAGCACATTGCGGTAATCATCTTTGTTTGATGTGTAGCCAAAATCCACTGCCGTGAGGATGACTGGAGCTCGTGTGAGGATTTATATTCCTTGACAAGATCAGCAATGTATTGTGGTTCATTTGTGGCAAACACTTTGTGTAATGAGATGGAATGGGTAAAGTGGAATGGAATGGGTGGAGTCCACATTTAGCAGTTCCGCTTTCTGCTGGCAGAGATATACAGGGTATGGCTCCACCTCGACGCCCACCCACAGGAAGGGAGTGTGGGACAGATGGAGAATCGTCTACACACTGATGTACAGCACTCTCCTGGCAGAGCCAGGACATGGCTCCTTATCAACGCCCACAGGAAGGGAGTTTCGAAACATGTGTGTACTCCACTAACTCTCGCCTATGCCTCTTGGATTACAGGTCACGTGCAGCAGAGCCACCACCAACCAGTTAGATGGTGAAAAGAATACAATCACCTTCCGTTAAACACATCTAATGTAAGACTCGGATCAATTCGTTATTCAGGGTAGTTCAATTGACATTGATATAAACGCGTGTGAATGAACAGGCATCCCTCGCATAATGCGCGACATGTCTTCCTGGATCGCGCTGTATGACGCCTATTTTCTATAAACATTCATGTTATACCGGGGTGTTGCATTACCAAAGAAACATTACAGTTGATCATCAATTAAACGGCGTGCGATTATCCGTCTTTAAACATTATCCGGTGGTCCTAGGCCAATCCTGCAAAACCGGCAAAACTGCTCCAAAGGCTGTAACCAGTCCGGCGATTAGTGCCATGTGTATGACAAAAAAAGTAGCTACGCTTGATGTCAGTGTCAAATATTATTTACAGTACATTATACACTACATACAACATCTTGAACAATGAACATACTACACTATATACATTGTTCACGACTAATAAATAAAAACAAAATATACAGTGCGATCCGGTAAAAAGGCCGTTTAACTCGGCGTGCCGGTCGAAAGGCTGCACCAGTCCATTTATCGTCAAACACACGTTTTTGAAACAAGAGCGTAGTACCACGTCCATCACCCCATGCAGCATTTTTGAGATTGGAGTAGTAAGTAAATACAATAACGTTTATAGGATATTTATTTGTGTCTATTTGTATGTTTATGCGAATCTAATATAGTAAACAAATGTAAAACCTATTACTCTTTGGTTCTTTCGGTAAAGTCATGTTTTGATTGTAACACAATCAATCGTCATTAAGTAGAACTAAATTTGAGAGAGAGACAAAACAGACACGGAGACACACAGACACGGAGACAGACAGACACAAGCAGAGAGACAACACATAGAGACCCAATGCCTCTGTCGTGGCCTTAAATAGAGAAAGGGGGTGGGGCAGAGAGAGAGGTGGGTCTGCTGGAGCAGAGAAATTAGCATGTCAATGAGAGAGTTGTGTGGAAATCCACACCCCGGGTCGTTAACTGTATGTTAGCCGACTCCTGTATGGCGCTGAGTCCTGGGTCACGTACCTTCGTCACCTGAGTCTCCTCGAGCGTTTCCATCAGCGCTGCCTCCGCACAATCTTCAATATTCACTGGAGTGACTTCGTCGCCAACACTGAAGTCCTCAAGTCAGCGAAGGTCATCAGCATCGAGGCCATGGTCCTCAAGACACAGCTTCGTTGGGCAGGGCACATCGCCAGGATGGAGAACCACCGCTTGCCTAAGATTGTGCTGTATGGGGAACTGTCCTCTGGCCATCACGACATAGGGGCACCACGAAAGCGATACAAAGACTCCCTGAAGAAGTCCCTCACTGCTTGCTGCATCGATCACCGTCAGTGGGCAACACAAGCAGCTGATCGCAACTCCTGGCGGCACACAGTCCACCAGGCCACCTCCTTCGAAGATACCCGCAGGGCCCGTATGGAGGACAAAAGGAGAAGGAGGAAGAACCGTGATCCCTCAGCACCCATCCCAGATGAGACCTATACTTGCAGCTGTTGTGGCAGGACCTGCTTGTCCCGCATAGGCCTCTTCAGCCACCAGCGTGCCTGCAGAAGACGTGGATGTCCTTCCTAGATCTCCGTTCGCGAAGCCAAGCCATGATGATGGAGCCGACTCTCTGCTTTGCATTGCATTATATTTCCAAAAAATTGCTCAGTTTGTTTTCTCAAACTGCCTATTTCTCTCTAAAAATATACCAGGCTCTCATCGGTCCATTCGCTCTTTCTCTCCCCCGGCCGCTTCGGGGTAGATTTCCACACAACTCTCTCTAAAATGTACAGACTTGCTGGTTCTTTCTCTCCCCCTGCCGCCGAGGTGTATTTCCACACAGCTCTCTCATTGACATGCTAATTTATCTGCTCCAGCAGACCCACCTCTCTCTGTGCACCCCCCCCCCCCTCTCTATTTAAGGCCATGCCACAGAGGCATTGGGTCTTTGTGTGTCTATGTTGTGTGCCTCTCTCTGTGTGGTCTCTCTCTGCTTGTGTGTCTGTCTGTCTCCGTGTCTGGTCTCTCTCTCAAATTTAGTTCTCCCTGATGACGATTGCTTGTGTTGCAATCTAAACGGCGTATTCTATTATTTAATTTATTTTCTTTCTACGTGACTTTACCGAAATAACCAGAGTAATTCCTGCAGTCACGAAAGCTTCAAATCAAGTAAAACATTATGTGGTTATTTTGATAAAGTCACGTAGATAGAAAAAGAATAATAATAAAAATAAAGTGAATACAAATTATAAAATACAAATAATACATTAATTTAAAAAAAACACTGATGTGGACTGTAGCCTGGTTCTTAATCGTGATGAGCATACTGGCAGTCTATAATGTAGACTTTTCTGGTTATTTCAGTAATGAAAAAAATGAAAACAAAAACCACGACGCAACACAAGCGGTCATCAGGGAAAAAACACACACACAACACCGAAAAACATGTTATACAATAATGTGCAAAAATATATAATTTTAATTATGATGATTCGTGATTCTCTAGCGTTTTTAAAAACCTGGCGCCCCCTTCCTCCGAAAGCCGACAAATAATTATTATAATAATCAATGATCGCCGGTCAGTATAATTTCATTTAATGATTTTAGCCATGGAATAACAAAATGTATAAATATAAGACTAAATATTATTAATGTTACATCCCTAAAGAATGCGTCGCCTGAGAATTCACGCTATGGGGGGGGGGGGGGGGGGGCGCGTTAACGCAAGGGACGCCTATGCTGCCCGCGGGAGATAGCCCCAACATTAACAAGCTGCAACTTGTACAAAATTCTCTGGCGCGTGTTGCGGCAGCTACTGCAAGATGGCACCGTGTTCGTCCAGCGCTCGCCGAGCTGCACTGGCTTCCGATTGGCGAACAAATGCGTTATGAGGTCGCACTCATTACACACACACGGTGCTTGCCACAAATTAACCACAATACCTTGTTGAGCTCCTCAGGGAGCATAAACCATCACGCGAACTCCGGTCATCCTCGCAGCAGCGGCTTTTGGCTTGCCACCAAGCAGACGGTCACCGCATCGTTCGCTTTTGTGGCTGTTTGGAACGGTCTTCCGATATTAAGCCACATGAGCTATGTACTTATAAATCATCTATGTTGAAAACGAATTTCTTTCGAAAAGATGTTTGGGGCCGTCCATAAATGACGTCACGCGATTTGACGATTTTTGACCCCCCCCCCCCCTTCGTCACACAGCGTTACACAAAGTCAGACCCCCCCCTCAAATGATGTCACAAAGCTCTGCCCCCCCCCCCGCCCCCAAAATAAAAAAATATGCTTCAAATCGCTTTAAACTATTGTCATTCTCATAGGTTCTTTCGGTAAAGTCACGTAAGTAATAATAATAATAAAATAATAATAAATGAAAATAACTCAATTAAATCACGACGTTTCGGAAGCAACACAAGCCTCCGTCATCAGGTGTAACTACTCCAGTAAAATTACTGTAGTGTGTGAAGAAAGCTAGTCAAGACACGTGTTTTTATATAGGGTGCTGGGCAGGGAGGTGCCAATGATTCGGGGGGGGAGGGGAGATAACCATCTCGGTGCTTGTACACTGCAAGTACGGTTGGCTCCTCCCTGCCCAGCACCCTATATAAAAAAACACGTGTCCTGAATTGTTTTCTTCACACGCTACAGCAATTTTACTGGAGCAGTTACACCTGATGACGGAGGCTTGTGTTGCTTCCGAAACGTCGTGATTTAATTTAGTTATTTTCATTTATTATTATTTCATTTTATTATAATATTTTTTTACCTACGTGACTTTACCGAAAGAACCTAAGAGTATGAATCCTTGCAGTCACGAAAGCTTCAAATCTAGAACTATTGTCATTGTAGTGCGTATTACTGGTAAGAACCTCCTGGTTACACCAGCCCACAGGGGATTAGTGGTCGTCCGTCCGTCGTGCATCCAAAAATGGGAGGGGTGGGGCTGGGTGGAGAGGGGCTGGGTGGGGAGTGGGAGGGGTGGGGCTGGTCACCCCGTGGTACCCTTATAAAACTCAACGTCTAACTCACTCACGCCGGCTTGTGCCCGCCCTCAGTCGGGCATATTTGCGGAATACACCACGCTGCCGTTGACCGAGCAACCCAACGTTCCTACCAGCTCCCTCCGCAGGAATGTGTTTAATGCGGCGCTGCATTCTGATGTTGTAGGATAAAACATTTATTAAAAAGTCTATTTAACCAAGTAGAACGTGTTGTCTATATTTATTTAAAGTTGCGCATTTTGATGTGACGTCACATTTCTCAAACCCCCCCCCCACCCGTCACAGTTCGTCACAAATGTCTGACCCCCCGCCCCTAGGTGCGTGACGTAATTTATGGACGGCCCCTTTGCGTTCAGTTTGTTGTCCTTCCAACCCCTCCGATTAGCACGGTTGGCTACGTACGGTGCGAAAGAAGTCCCACATACATACAAACATACACGAGAGA